ACGTAAGGAGGAAATTATAGAGAGTGTTTCCGTAACCCGCATCTTTGACAGGAGAGATTACGTCTTACGAGCCGACTAGTAGAGCTGTACCAATAGCAAAAGACGTACATAATTATAATTGTAGTAATAAAAATATTGTAAGCCACAAAACTTGTTCGAATAAAAATCATGAATATGATGATGAATAAATTACCTTTAATCTCCCTTATCTGAAATAGAATCAATTAATTGATTTCACTTGAACGGATCAACGTTGTAAAGGATCTAAAATTATCAAGGCTTGCCTCCTTAGGCATAGACATAAAATATAAAATATACAATCACACTAACGAATAAAGTTCACATAAACTGAGAACGGATTAAAATCTGCATATTGTACACATTTATGTAATGCGTTTATTTATCTAGCTTTCTGTACCGGACCCGATCCTATCTCATACGATAACCGCCCAGTTATTAAGTAGTTAGATCATTAGATTCCTACACCAGTTTTAAGGCAGGCTAATATGAATTCTATTCATATATTACGATGTTATCAGAATTTCCACCCATAAATCTCAAAAGATGTTACGGGTCAGGTTACAGTCGACAGAAAACGAGTCTGTGAAAGGCAGAGCAGATCTAATCTGATGCCCCACTTGCTAATAGTCTCTGTAATTTACCATGCATCTTGTAACAGTTGTTGCCAAATTGCCCATTTGGAATGGACAAAATAATTTCAACGCTTGTCTGGTTCACGCCTTAGCTGTCTATCTTAATAAAGCATCTCGTTACTGTATACGGGTCTTGCGTGTTCAACGAGACATCATAAGCGGACATGCCAAAACACGGCTTTGACAAGCGCTCGTTCAGAGTTCCTGAGGCCGCTTGAAGATAATCGACATTATGCTAACGCGTGAATCACGAAGTGTTCATAACTTCAGAACGGCAAGCCTGGTCCCCCATATCTAATGCCACAGGCAACGGTGTCACCTTTCGTCCCCGATAGGTCCTTTCCTCGCAGTGGTGTTGTTTTGCAGGCTATTGAATGACTGCAGTCGGCCCGTATTAAGCAAGTCTTCGTCAGGTAATCGGAACCGCGGCTTAAATCTAACGACTTCGTACCTAATGCGTTATGCCTGAATAAATTACGAAAACCTATACCTTGCGAAAGGTTCGGTAGATTACTGACAAATATAAAATGTCGCTTGGGCGTGTCTTCAAGTACCTACACCTAGGTTACAGGAACAGTTTGCTTGAAGTGGTTAGTTGCGTTAGGGTCGGATTTTATTATCGCACTCCACAAATAGACAGGAGACAAAAACATACTTGAGAAGTTCACCCCTCTCCGTCTTCATTGTGGGAACTTAAAGCCAACAGGGAAGCCCAATCTTTTTTGTCGTACTTTCTGGGAAAGAAGTGCTCCAGGTAGCCGGTACTAATGCGTTCTTTTGTATGCATGAGTTGAGTTATTATTTGCAAATGTTTCAAGACCTTTTCCTAACTGGACATTGTCTTCTTTCTTCCCTAATTCAAAAAGTTAACATAATAAAACAATTACGCAATCTATATTTTGAAAAATAAAATATTCTTGATCTAATCATAAGAATCCACCAGGCCAGAACGCATTCGTTCTTGTTCCATGTTTTTTACATTTATTTCTTTTCCATGTTGCTCTTATTTGATCGCAATCTAACCCAAAGGGCGTCGTAAATACCAGTCCAATGCATCTAGAGTCTGCGTAGTGACTAGAAATTTATGCTTTAAATGTAGCGTTAATACTTACTCGTATCAGCTGCACTCGTATGGCGTCATGTAGAAAAGGTCTAAATCCGGATATACGACTTAATTATTTCAAGATTCGTAGCCGGTTAATTTATAGCTTAAGAGTGCAACACAATAGGTCTATTTCAGTGAATCCATCTCGCCGTCGATATAGTGGAGCTACGACAATGACCTTTAGAGCCCACGCTAATTATATAACGTCTACCCAAACCAGACTGGTTGGTACGCTCAGCAACTCGTCAAATAACTTACTCCTTGGGCTTCCAACTAGTAATTCTTTTACCATTTATGAATGGTCGGACTTAAACTGGAATCCCAATGAAGCTGACTCATAAATCTGCAAACCTTTATTACTTGTGACATGAGATAATAAATACAGTGTGTCCGGGCTTGTAGTGATCAAACTTTAAGGGCGTAATCTATGGACAATTTTATCGATGAAAATACTTCAAATTTGGGGCTTGACCCATTTCTCGCAAAATTACGAGGATTTAAGTTTTTAATTTTTAGTTTTCACCTCTTCCTTCAAAAACAAGTGAAAGCATGGGTAGCTCAACACTAATAAGCAAAAATTTTATATCATGCGATAGCCAATAAGATTATCTATTAGCAGAAGTAGAAAACAGATACAAGTTTCATACATTTTAAGGGAGTAAGAATGGATTTAATTAGAAAAAAACATTACTTTTTTCACTTCTTTTTCAGTTATTTTCCAACACAAGAAAAACCAGGTCGTTAAGGTATGTTTTATTTGCATTGTATTATTAGTATTTGAGCCATTCTACAAAACGAATGAAAATTTATTAGTCTACATCTATTAGTTTCGACGTAATTGTTGAACAAAGATACCCCTTCCCAGCGGTTTCCATAGTAATCGGAATAGGTTGTGTGATTCTTTCAGGCAGTTCATTTTCGNAAATACTCGTAATTTTGCGAGAAACGGGTCAAGCCCCAAATTTGAAGTATTTTCATCGATAAAATTGTCCATAGATTACGCCCTTAAAGTTTGATCACTACAAGCCCGGACACACTGTATAACGCTTTAGATTAGGCTATCAAGGAGTAATCTAAGTGGAACGCCTTTTCAGTGCTGCACTGGTAATTTCGATTTGAAAGTTGTAAATAAAAGTCGGCGGAAATACTTATATATGTTACTTACTTTCTTGTCTACCAATTACGTTAGATAACATTATTATTATGATAAGACTTTATTATTCATAGTTAGGTCTGTATAGTAACAAAAATCTCCAAGATTTTGTTGTAGAGTTAATTCTCTGCCAATTTATTTTTGCAAAATACAGGTATACGAAATTACAACTGCACAATGCTATGAAGCAATAAGACGACTGATTCACTGTAATAAATTTAACGCACCCTCCCATAACTGGCATATGGTGCAATAAAGCAATAAGTATAATCTTCCTATCCTAGATACTTATCGAATATTGTCTGTTACAAAATCTGCTATAGCTAAGGCAGCTATAATACCTGTTCTTGGAAAATTCAATATTTCTCTCGCCTCGCCGTCATTAATTCTATCTTTTATTTTATCTCATAATAACAGGCGTCGATTAATTCTATTTAGCTATTCATCAGCTCCATAAGCTGACACTCGGCAAGCTGCTTCCAATTATTTTCGAGTGAGGATTATTTTAATCGATTTCGGATGTAACTCTACAAGTTGTGTCGGAAGTCAAAACGTTACTCCCTTTGCCTGTAACCACAGCAACAAATTTGCGTGAATCCTTCCCCTCCAAACTAGCGGCCTTTGACGAGGGTCTGACGATTTCGATGTAAGTTAAAAACTAAAAGCTTTTCAGAAGATAATAAGGTACAATATTGTGGTTATTTAACAAAACCAGCCTTTGACTTCATCTTTTTAATCAACTGAGAAATCGATTGTTATTAACAGAGTCGGAATTTGAAATGTTAGCAAAAAAATCCATTTAAAAACGCACTATCGACATTTCCAGTGAAACCGAACTGATAACATCTAGTTGGTTTTGAGTTATCTACTTGCGTGTGGCTCGAGCGCTAGTTAATATTAGATGAAGCCCCGTAAAGCGTGGGGCGCCGGCAGCTGATCGGAAGTCCTGCCCTTTGTTCGACTCTTTACCACATTTTTTGTACTTTAGGAAGGAAGGAAGAATTCTTTGTTATTTCTATTAATAAAATGCTATTTGTAAGAACACAGATGAAAATATTGTGAGAGGTCCTGTTGGAGAGATGGTCGCACCTAGCCAAATCACAAAATCGGAATCAGTGACCCGATGGCATCCAGTTTCGTTTCGACATTTCTCTTTGCAGTCACGATTTTTGTGTTACGCCCCATTGTCCCCCACTTGAATTATTCGTATTTTTGTCCATACAAAGCAGGAAAAGTCCATTATTCTGATTTTTTTCGGGTACAATGGTTCGCGCAACAGCGCGCGCGCAGCGTGTGATCCGTCGCCATCGAGAACGATTGTTCGCGATACACACAGAGGTGGTTATTTAAAATTTTCGGCTTTTGTCGGACGACGCGAATATAAAGGACGACACACCTAGACGGCTTTTGCCTTTGAATGTTTATTAACTACTTCCTGACTCTTCTGCGACGTTTCCGCCAGATAGATAACCATTTTTTTGATCGCATCCCTTGAGAAGACCTGCACTGATGGATATAGCTATAAAATAAATCTTTTCTTTTGTTTGTAATTTAGTTTAAAATTCACGTATCACCAGTTCACCACCAAAGCAGGAGACATTTTCTGAAATACATATTTGAACGGCAATTTTTGCATATGATTGCACATCGAATCCAAGAATCAATTTAACACATTTAATGCCTATTTAATAAATACTGAGATGTATGTGCAATAATCTCACCTTATCATCAAAGATGTTCGCGTAGGTCCAAATTATTTTAATGTTTCTATAGTTAATAGAAGGCACCCTAGGACGATTTATCAAAAAAAACATTTGGAATAAATTTAAGTAAAAAAAAGGATAATCCACGGTGCCGTGTAGTCGGCCTGGCAGCATGTGTGTGGCCGACAACACGGCGCCGTGGGGAGGAGAGATTATCTTGTTTTAATCTATTTTATGGTTTATTTATATTTTATTATTAGGTTAATGGATGAAATTAAACAATTAATCATTTGTGAAACTAAAAAGTTTAGTGTTTATTATTAAAAAAGATAAAATTCAAAAGAAAAACATACATAAATCGTAAATCTAAATGAATGAAAAACAGGAAATAGTTTTGTTTCTAAAAAATAAAATGCTTGAAAGTCTGAAAACTATGAATGAAAATTACAAAAACATTGGGTACAGAAACCTGGCGATCCGTCGCATCCTTTACATTCATATAAAGTAGCCACCCTCTTCTTAATCTGTTTGCAACCCTTGCATTCTTTCCTAACAATTTCTTTTATTGTTCTGATGCCTCTTCTTTCCTTCTTTTCGCGCAACTTCACATTTTCAATTTTTGTCAATTTATGCTCTACTTTCAGTACCTTAAGTTGATCTGTTTTTTTAGGCAATAGCTTTTCCAAAATGGAAAGGCGAAAATCGTACAAATTCAGCCTTTGCTTTGTTGAAAATTTGTTATACAAATAATAAGCATTTGCAACGCTCATTTGTAGTACATGAATGAAGAGTTTCTTATACCACCTCATGGTCTTTCTTTCACACGGGTAGTAAGACAGCATCTGGTCCTGTAGATCGACCCCAGACATAAAATTGTCGTAATGAACAATTGCTGAAGGTTTGAGCAGAACTTGGCCTCTTTTGTTGGTAACTTCCATCATTTCATTATCGTGCTCTGTTGATATATACAGCACATATCGTTTATCTCTCCATTTACCGATGTGCACGTTATTTAAAAAAACAGACTTGTATTCCCCCTTTTTAAGGGTTACTGTGCTGAGGTCAACAGGATTTCCTTCTCTATTTTTTCTTAAAGTGCCAGTGCAGTATGTTTGTCGGTCCAGCAACTTCACCGCCAAATCATAAGAATTATAAAAATTGTCCATATAGACACTATGGCCGGAATCCAGATTATCCTCTAATAATTTTAACACAATTTTTTGTGTGTGTCCTTGTCCTGAAGTTTCTTCATGTGCACCACCGTATATTTGAAATTTTAATACTATCCCTTCAGGTTCAGCCAGAACATAAAATTTAACGCCATACTTATGGCGTTTATTTTTAATGTATTGACGAAAAAGAAGCCGTCCCCGCCACAACACCATGGATTCATCAAGAGTCAGCTGTTTACCTGGACTATAAATATTGTTCATGACAGTATTAAAGTTATCTACAATTGGACGGATTTCAGTTAATCGATCCTCGTCTCTTGGATCTGATGAAAAGTGCAGGCATCGTAATATCAGCATGAACCGGTTTCGTGACATATATTGTCTAAAAGAAGGTATATTAAATAGCCAGTGAGTTTTCCAATAATCATTCAGTCTGTTTAGCCGAATAGTCCCGGTGTGAAGTAGTAACCCAAGAAAGGTCATACATTCCTCGCGTGTTAATTCCTTCCAATTGGTAATTCTATATTTATCAGTTACTCCAGGTTGCTGTAGCACTCTTTCAGCATTAAGATTTGTTTCACGTACAATCAAATCGAGAATGTCATTATTTAAAAATAATAGAAACGCTTCAAGTGGGTCCGAGGGCACTGGAACTAATAGTTCTTGTGCTTTGGTAAAATCTAAGGTTTTCATCGAACCTGTCGAAGCCCATGTTGCTGTAGCTCCCTCGTGTGAAGGCTGGTCGTCGATATTTTGTGCAACTTGCCTATTATTGTCATCAAAACTTGGAAGTGCTGATATAGATGAATAACCAGCAACACCAATATGTGACGGGAGAATGAAACTTTGCTCGGAGACTGTCGGGGTAATTGCAGAAGACCTCAGCAAAGAAACAGATGGGGTTTCTATAGTATTGATCAATAAATGGTCCGGAATCTCACCAAAAGGACCGTCCATCCGACCATCATTACACTGTGAATAAACAGCTTCCTCACTTGAACAATCATTTTCGTCCGAGGTACAACTGTCAAGGACTGTTTTTCGGGGTTTTTTAGCACCAGAAAACGAAGAATTATCAGTAGAAAAGCGCTTCGACGGACCCGGCACTTCACTCATTTTGGCGCGAAAATTACGTGTGATTTACAGCCGTCTATAAAATACAAATACTAGTCAAAATCCGTAAAAAGGATTTGTGAGATCGACAAATCGTGCGTGTGGCTGCACGAGCGACGTGACCCTGCCTCGAAAGCCGGGGGCATACTGTCTCATAGAAACGATACGGTCGCGATCCACGGTGCCGTGTGCTCGGCCCCCCGCCCCTCCACGGTGCCGTGGAAGTGGCCTCCTACCTACCGCTCCACGGCGCCGTGTATTAGGCATTAAGTTTCCGCCAGATAGATAACCATTTTTTTGAACGCATCCCTAGAGAAGACCTGCACTGATGGATATAGCTATAAAATAAATCTTTTCTTTTGTTTGTAATTTAGTTTAAAATTCACGTATCACCAGTTCACCACCAAAGCAGGAGACATTTTCTGAAATACATATTTGAACGGCAATTTTTGCATATGATTTCACATCGTCGAATCCAAGAATCAATTTAACAGCAATCTTAATAAAAGTACAATCCAAATCATAAGCTGCCGTACAATTGCATAACAAAAAGACATGTATGATATCAATTTGCTTCTGAGAATAAAATTGCAATCGTTTGCCGCGCTTTTAAAAGGCGATTCTGGCTATAAAATTACGGCCAAGGGCATAAACACTGCACGGCCGGTTTCTCGTAAGTGCGGGTTCGAGATGATTAGTATTGTGTGTAGTGTGAGGTTACAGCTGATGGAAACTATAAACCGGCATTAATTATTGACTCGATTCCTAGCGCACGTGACCGACTAGTTAAGCTTGCATTACAATTCAGTTTTGTGGCTTCTGCAAATAGCGTTTATTGCTGTGCAGCCGCGAACTTGGTTATGCGGAAGGATCGGAATGTTCTCGGAAATCAATAACTCTAGCTCATTTAGGTACTAAACTGTGTCTGCTCAAAATTCGGTCTGTTAATTTTCGTACGGTTGCATGTACCTACGATAAATTATCATCCACTAATGGATATCAATGAATGATCAGTCCCACCAATCTAAAATATCGTCGTAAAATTATGTCAGCTACAAGTAACAAAATACCAAATGTCTTTTCTGTTAACAAATTTTCCTTATTAGAAATTAAAAGGCAATAAATCATAACAGAGAGCTTACAATAATAGAAGTGCAACATGTGCACTAAATCTGATGTTATTTGAAACCACTGTTTCTGTTAATGGTCCAGCGACAACAGATGACGTTATTATAAGCCGTGGGAATGTGATGCAATCATATCAGGAAGAGAAAGGACATAATTTAGTCATTGGCTTCCTACGCAATATCCTGTACGCAAATGATTTACTAACAGGGTAATAATTATGAACTTCCTAACCCAAGTTCCTACTATAATAAATACTTATACACGACGAGAAATAATTAAGATCCTGAATATTTTATAAAAGTTTACCTTTCCATACGCTTAAATTAGTATTTTGTTAACTAACAATGACGCTTAACACCTCCGACATGGCATTGACCTTACTCGTTTTTCTTTCCATAGTTAGTGGTACACCTTTCAATGCATGTTTGTCTCGCTTTAACGGTTTCGCAGCTGTGTAAATTGACGGCTCAGCAGACTTCTGCTAGTTTTCGTTGCGATACTAGTGATTCATTGTGAATTTACTGGACCATAGTTCCCACAGTTCAATGGCCTGATGGCAAAAATCAAGACATTCTGCTAATATTTTGATGACACGATTGTGTATTCAACAGTACTTAAACTATCTAGTCTAACTATGTAGCACCATTCCTTCGCCGAGCACGCAGCGGGATCAAGATTTGATTGGAATGTACTGCCATAAAACACTTTTTGTTGTTTTTTGTTTGAGTTTTATTTCATTCTAACCGATCTTTCAATCGGGCGATCTTCAGATCTCAATCTAGACTACAGGCAAGCTTAAAATGACTCAGCTTGCTTATTTGATTTTGTCCGTCTCGCATCTCGTCTCAATTACGTGTTCCATATTCTCATGAATGTTTGCTATAAGTAAGACATAATGACAGAGTGTTAACTTGCAATTTATTCTAGATTCATTGTTGCTGCTATCAATTGAGATTCAATTTCAAATTAGTGCAGAATCCACATAGCATCTTATCAATATCCTGGAAAAGCTTTTCGCTGCACACCTTTAAAGCATTAATCTTTAACGTTCGAGCAGCAAAGTTATCGGCACCGTTGTTTATTGGGACACGTACGCGTATGGTGTTAGCACCTACCGCTCGGAGACAGGCAGGCGAGGCTAATATGGGCAAAACAGGCCGCTCTCATCCATATTGCAGGGTCCCGTTCGATCAGCCCATTTATATTGCACGCGGATATCTTCGCAACTCAGCGGTCTTGATAGCACCCAGATAAAAATCAATTTAATGATATGGAATATTTTGAAAGTAGGTATATCATGTCAGACGAAGACGAATGTAATCGGTAATTCTAGTTTGTTAAGAATCATCAAAAATGAAAGCACGAAGAGATAAAAACAAAGTGATGTAGAAATGAAATTAATTTTCTCAAATTTCAACCCATCGTACAATGAACTTCCTTTGGCTGTAACCTTCAAATGATATGTCTGTAACAAAACGAAAATATGATGTCAAGCTAAACAATACGACTACGTGAGAAATGTTCGTGTTCACAAACAACATTCAACGGCCAAAGCAATTTAGAATCCATAAAATAGTTCGGTGATCGTGCTCAAAGTGCTCGAATGTACCACCCCAGAGTCAGACAACGCCCTAGTTGATGAACAGAATGATGTTACAGAAACGTCCGACGAATACAAGATTCCTGTTACCGTCGTAACAAGGAACATCAAACTATCAGCTTTAACAAGATCTGACAATCAAATTGAAATTTCCGAGTACGTCCCGCTGACTATAGATTTTGTTATGCAGCATGACTTGCCGTTCGCACTATTGCTTCGTAGCAGGTATTTTAAACCTCAAATTGCGATATTGTAGCTTTATTACAAATTCAACTTGTGTCTGCAGTATTGATTGTGAATTTAGAGCCAATATGAACAATGAGAAAGCCATTAAAGGTACAATCGGCACGGACGATGAGGTAATTTGAAATTTCGCATATTCGCCTCATTATTTATTAAATGTCGAAGGTCTATAACGTGTAGCAGGTAAGTATTCTGATGTATGAGGAGATTAAAACCGCATCTCTGGTTAAAATTAAATATAGTTATTTAGATAGTTGTGTGTGTTGTACATTCTGATTTTAGCATGTCTTGCACTATTATTTTCAAATATTCCATCGCGTTCGCTGAATGCACAACAAACGTGAATCATGGCAGAGATAAAAACATTGTTTCAGTCGGGTGACAGCATAAAAATAAAGGTGAAAATATCTGATCGCGAACGTAATGGTTTAGATAAGGGTTTCACGTCCGCGCAATAATGGCTGTAGCCGGCACGCCGGCCGTGCAATGACACATTCCGTGTTTTGTGGCACACAATTATTATGTTATGACGACTACAGTGTTGCCTATTTCAGTATTTATAATTCATACAGTATCAAATCAGGCAATAAAGCTTTTTTTTCAGCAAAAGATGCCATAACTTATCCTGAACGGCGATTTTATAAGATTTTGCTGCTGAAAGTTTCGTGAACCTATCCCGAATTTTCTTAATGGCTTTCGAACGGATTAAAGTCGTAACTTTCAAAATCGTTTCAGCTGAAATTGCAAAATAATAGTCTGGAACGGCTTTTACTAAAGATTGAACGGTAATCGTTCTTTTTTCTTTTAATTTAATTATGCATTTTGGACCTAAACTGTTCAAAAGTTTAAACCAGCATAATAACGCTATGGAAACAGTGCAACTGTTTTAACTTTCAAGTAATATTTCATTGGTATGTATGTACGAGTATGTTTAGATTAGATTAGATTAAGAGAACCCATTCTCTAACCGTAATCTTTTCCACATAACGAGATTTTCCTGTTCTCCCCGAAATAATAAACGACAGTAACATGTGGCAGAGTTCATAATAAGCTCGACGAGTGAAGAAAAATACAGTACTATAAGTAATCATTAAAGGCATTTGCATTGAGTCGTTACGAGGCGTCTTACGTAAGGGCGCGCGGACAGAATATGTAATGTTTACCTTAGGTAGCTTAGGACGGTTCATTAATTTGTTATGTCGGCATTTTGCCGGCAAGCTCATGTAACAGATGATTTATTTGGTGGCTTCGGTAGAGCCAGTCCGACTACTGCGGTGAACGAACCCTGTCAAACGCAACTCGGTACTGGTTTCGGCTTTGGCAGACGATTCTGCGCCGCATATTGACCGTTTATGGACGTGAAACTGGCAGTCCATTCAATAAGAATCTCTATTAAACGTAATGTGGGTGTGTCTTGAATTTAAAACACTTTAAATCCCATAAAATGTTGTAATGCGTTCCAAAAATAGCTGAGGCATGTTTGCTTTCAACTAAGCTTTTATTATCTTCAGAAAGATGCTTGAAAGAATACATCCTAATGAAGAATCAAAATTAAGCTAATTATTATCCGCAGCATGTGTTGATAGGCATTTATCTACCGGCATTCCCATGTCTTGTCCTATAGATACAGGCTGTCTTTTTGTGAGACCGGCAGATTAAATCTTATCGTTACCACGCTCACCTTGGTAAACATTTAAAAAAATAATTTACACAGTTAAATCCCGGTGACGGTGAACAGCTGCTCCCCAATCCGTGCAGCTTACTCACCAAATTATTAAAAGCCATAAAACGAGTCTCAAACAGAAGGGTGAGCAGCCCTATTGTCGACCTTCGTGTCTAAAACTCGCATGAGCGTTATTATTTTACTGCAGGCGAGGTGATCGATTTTTCGATTTTTTCACCGCACGTTTTATGTATTAGGGGGCGTCCATAAATTACGTGAGACAATTTTGGCTATTTTTCAACCCCCCCGCCCCCCTTGGTGAGACTTGGTGAGATTTTGCCTGACCCCCTCCCCCACCCCCAAATCTCACGTGATATTAAAAAAATCCGAAATTTAATAGTTTTGGAGTAATATAACTAAGAAACATTTTTTTTGTGTGCTTTAACGTTGTCGCTAACGAGTGAATCAAAAAGATCTATAAAG